CAAAGTCATGATTCAACAAATGTTGTTCATATACTCTAAAATAGATTTTTGCTACAGTGAATATAGAGTATCAGTGTAGTAACTTGCAAATATATTTTATATTATTTTATCTCTCTTCCTCTCCTTTCTTTCATTCTCTCTCTTTCTCCCTTTCATTATTCTAAAAAAAATAATATAAAAGTAATGAGAAATAATATTTAAAAGAAGTAGTTAAAAAAATAGAAAATTTGTTAGAGTGTGTATTAAAAAAGTGAGTAGTTAAAATAAAAAAATATATTTTTTGAGTAGCTAAAATGTAATTTATTGTTGGAGATGCTCTTGTGCCGGAAAAAAGGGAACAATCCAAGAATGAGTATAGTATATGGCAGTTGACGTATGTGCAGAAAGAGGAAGGGGAATGTGAAAATGGAAAAGCGTGAGGCTGTCCACCACCATGGATCATGATGTTGTCTATGTCATATTTCACTTTAACAGGCTAAGTTATGGAACTAGAGAGGTCCTATGCAACATTGATGAGTAATTGTTTCAAGTTTTTTGCCGAATTTTTGAATGTTTGTTGTTGCTTATGTATGGTTAGATTGGGCATGACAAGCAAGTCCAAATTTGCATTATTTGGCCAAAAGGCCAACTAGGTGCATTAATTTTCAAATTTTGCTGCCCAAATTCCATCTCTAACATCTTCTTTTTATGCAGGGTTTTAATTATACATTCTTTAAACTTACGGTTATAATATGAATTAGAAATACGTTCAACTATTCACAAACCGTGCACAACAAATTAATCAATATGAAATTTTAACTGAAGATCTTGAGATAATCATCGACGATATAGACTTGATTTTTTATTTGATTAAAACAAGTAATTATTCTCGTATTCAAGTCCTCTTATAATTCAATCCCGCCACAACGATCGTAGGAGATATTGGTTGTGGGATAGTATAAATTTCTGAATTACATCTATCAAGTTCCTTATTTCGCCAAAATTATAAACCCAATTTCTATAACACATTTTAGGATAACAATGTGCAATAAATCTAAAATCAGATTATTTGTTTGTCTGGTAAAATTTAGCATCCAATAACTCCAAATTGGAAGATAATGACTGATTTTAACCCACATATTATGTAAGACAATTTATTTACTATATAAGGAGAAACAGAGCATATGAGGCAGCTTGGGTATCATTTCTACTCATGGTACTAAACACTTGGCGGAAATAAAATAAAAATGGTGATGGGCCAAAGTGGCAGTGCTTGGTATTGAAATTGAAGCTTAAGAAAACAAGAGGCTTTGCTGGCAACAGCCCTTTTTTTTTTCTTGTTTTTGTTTTGGTTGTTATTGTTGGTTAGACACTATTACAGAAAGGATAACAATGAGATTCAAACTCGCAATTTTAAAGTTCAACAACGAGATTTAAACTCGCAATTTTAAAGTTTAATAACGAGAACGATAGAAATTAGACTAATCGAAAATTGACCAACTAGGGTTCATTAACCTTTTCATACCTATGGAATCTTAATTAAATTGGAGGGGATAAGAAGATTTATGCTCATTGAACTTCAAGTCAAAGGTTAAAAGAAAAAAAAAATGAGAGAGAAAATCAATTTCTCTAGCATTCATGGATTGAAATCTCTCTAGTTATTTTTTTTTTCAATTTTTGTTATTGATAGATCATTCATTGTGTGTGAGTGAAGAAAAAGAGTTTCACTCTGAAGTAGGTCTTACATAAAGTGTGCCCCAATCCATACACGTAAGTGACGATTAAAGAAATTTGAAGAAAAATATAAGGGATGAGATGAATGATTTTCAGACTCCATGATTGTGCTGGGTTTGGACTTTGGAATTGCTATAATTTATGCTCCACTACCGAAGACAAAGACATTGATTAACGCAATTCCAAATTAGACCAAGCTAGTATTAAACTAGGTTGACCACATGGTATGAGCACTAGTTCAATTCCCTAAACTTAGGGCCCGCTGGAAATGGGATGAACCTCTCTTAAAGCTAGAAACTTGAAATGGTACCTTAAATGATAGCTCAAGTAATAATAGGTGATGGACTCTGATTTAATTGGGTTAGACCTAATAAATCATGTAAGTCCAAATTAACTAAAAGGTAAGTCAAATTCAATTTGTGAATTCGACTTAACCCAAGGTCTAAGGAATCCAAGGAATTCAAGAATAATTAGAGCACGCGATGAGTAATTATTGGAATACTCACTCTAACAAATTAAGACAACATTTTATGGCACTTTATCTTTTGTAACTACACAGAAAATTAGTACATTTGCCCTCACGTCACCGCTTTAACCAAAATTTTGTGCCTATAAATTATAAGTTCTATCTACATGAGATGAGACCTCTTGATTAATCTCTACATTTCTCTATACACCCTACACATAACTTCTCTCTCTCCTAGCTATTGTATTCTCTCGGAGCTAATCATTACTCTCTCTCTCTCTCATTCATCTTACTTTATCAATAAAGGTGCTTAGCCACCGTTGCCGTTTTTCAGAGTGGAGTAGGTTACCTGCATCGAACCACTATATATGTGTGTGTTGATCCGATATTTACATTATTATCATTGATTACTCTATTAATTGTCCATTAATTACACTTTATCACACATTCGACTGTTAGTCTTGCATAAGTCTGTTTTGTGCATCATCAAGAGAAACGAGTTATAAATTCAGATATCTAGAGTTTGAATCTTAATAATTTCGTGAGATCAGGGTATGAGAAAATTATCTTTAATGAATATCTTAGTCTTGGCATAGATGACTTACTTTTAACCAAACCATGAAAAAAATTAATCGAAGTGTACCTAAGTTAACTCAAACACCCTTAACCGTTAAACAAAAAAAAAAAAAAACTTGAAATGGTGGTAGCTAGGGATTTGATATTATAATATTCATTCATTACTAGGGGTGCAATTTGGGTGGGCCAAGTCGAGCCCGACCTAAAAAAAAAAAATAAGGCTTGGGTTGAGGTTTTAAAATTTTAGGTTGGGCTTAGGTTTAAAAATTCTAAACTGAATTGAATTCGGGCAATACCTGAGTTGAGGCTTCGAATTATCAGGTTCAACCCGAATCTGACAAATTAAAAATAAAATAAAATAAAATAAAATAAAATAAAAAATATATATATATATATATATATATACAACTAGGGTTCCTTTATGCGCCTCTGCCTCTCTCATTCTCTCAATCTCTGTCACTCTCTTTCTCTCGACCTCCCTCACTTCGTCCATCAACCTCTCTCACTTTGCCTTTCTCTCATATTTGTAAAGACCTCAACGAAGACCTCAAAAGAAGTTCATTGATCTGTACCTTTCTATCAGATCTGTCCTTCTCTTTCTTGTGGTTATTGTGGTTGTAGTGTGGTGACAATGGGTAGTGGGTTGTGGTTGTGCTATGATGTTTTGGATTTTTTGGTTTAATTTCTTGTGTTGTGTTATAAAGCAACTTAAATTTAAACCCAAATTAACTCGAATTAAGTAACTTATATTCAACTCGAGCCTGTTTGATTTCAACTTGGGCAGTACTTGGAATGAGTACATCGGGTTGAAATTGAGTTAAGATTAAAGTTGAAGATTATATACTTAAAATTGGATTAGGATTGACCTCTCAACACGTTCAACCCATTCGAGTTGCATTCCTATTCATTAGTAATAGTGTGATCCACAAGATTTACATTCCTAAAGGAGCACATTTTCTTGAAAATAAATAGGGTTGAAGACATAAGGGGAGAGTAATCACATTGGTAACATAAAGAAATTTATAAATTTGAAAAATATCTTTCAATATAATAATTCAAAATGTTGGATGATTAAAAAAAAGAGAAAATTATACCATATCTTTGATATTTGTCATTTAATCACTTAAACTTCCTGAGATGTAAATCATTACACACAGATCCCCTATCGTTAATATCCATTAATATATTTGTTAGTAAATTATATGAAAATTCTTGAAATTTGAAACGTGTAATACTTAAACCCTTCAATTATAAAATATTAAAATCATACATAATTTTGATTAAGGTAGATGAGGGGAAAAAGTCAATTTTTTTGGGGTGCATAATAATAAATACATGTACATTTAGTTTGCTTGAGTTATAGTTTAATAAGAACATTTATTGTCAAGTAAATAAATGAAGGAGATTTCTAAGCAACTAAATTTTAATTTTAATAACATACTATATTAATCATATTTTGGAATTAAATTTGAAGCACAATTGACATGACAACTGATTTGGACTTCATTATGTGGTGCCATGTCGTTTTAGCCCCAATTAAAACTCTAAATAATATACTATCATGTTATTTGAGTTCTAAATTTAGTTCTAAAATTTGGTCAGTATAGCACTGTTTTAATAAATATATATTTTAAAATCTTTAATGGTTTTAATTATAAATGTCCGAGTGTATCTAAAGGAGCGTACCCCACCATCATTCAATGACACTTGTCACATCCTAATTGGGCAATGTGACAGAATCTTGGCAATTACGTTGCGTTGCCACTCTTTGATCTTCTTCTTTTTTTTCTTGAATCCTCCATTAACGTATTGTAGTGGGTTGACTGAGTTGGCGTCTCCCTCTCTCTCTCTTGCCTTGTAAGCAAACAACTGAAAAGTTGAAACCCATCAATATTCGGTTATACAGTCCTCCATCACCAATAGTGTGTGTGCTTAGAATATATTAAAAGACCTCTCTCTTTTCTAACAGATTCAAAGTTTCTGAACTCACTAACCATGGCTAAGAATAGTCACTTANAATAAGGAGAAATAATATTTAAAAGAAGTAGTTAAAAAAATAGAAAATTTGTTAGAGTGTGTATTAAAAAAAGCGAGTAGTTAAAATAAAAAAAATATATTTTTTGAGTAGCTAAAATGTAATTTATTGTTAGAGATGCTCTTGTGCCGGAAAAAAGGGAACAATCCAAGAATGAGTATAGTATATGGCAGTTGACGTATGTGCAGAAAGAGGAAGGGGAATGTGAAAATGGAAAAGCGTGAGGCTGTCCACCNAAGTGCACTGATCACACAAATTCCTGGTTTCAACGGCATTCTTCCTTCCGAACATTATTCCGGGTAGGCGTTTTTATATATGTGTTTTTGCTTCTAAATCATATATATATATATATATGCTTGTATTATATATTGTTTATTGGTTAACTTGATGGGTATTCACTAATCTTTTTTCATATACATGGGTTTATACTTTACAGGTATGTGACTATTGATGAAACTCATGGGAAAAGATTGTATTACTACTTCGTTGTTTCTGAAAGAAATCCCTCAAACGATCCGGTAGTTCTGTGGCTCAATGGCGGACCAGGATGTTCCAGCTTAGATGGATTTGTCTACGAACATGGTATTGAGTTGTTGATGACGTTCTTTGCAATCCAGATTATGAGTTTAGTTGTGTATTGAGGTTGTACCGTGAAGAATTTACCTCCGATGGATACATTTTTCCGGTCTTTCTTCTTCTTTAATTACTAATATAGGATGGTTTCACTGTGAACAGTGTTGGTTATAAACTTATAATTTGTTAATTGGTGAATACTGTACTCTGTTTATTTCTGGGTTACAGATTGAAAAATTACTGAAGCCTTGCCCTTAACCTTACGAATTATTCAGAATACCTGAATAATTAGGATTGAACAAAGTTGTGCATAATTGTTAAGATAATTGGGCACTTGCTAATCCTATCAAAGTTCAGAAAATGTCTACCCTTGGAAATAAGTGTACTTTGTTTTCCTGAGTCATAGGATTTCAGATTATTTCTTTAGTACATTTTC